CTTGGACTCACTTTTGCGCCGGTGGTGATGCGAAGACTACGAGAAGAGTCGGACATGAAACTGACGATGGGTTTTATCTGCCTACTGATTTCACTCTGCTTCTCCGCTTATCTCCGGTTGTTCGTCGTCCGATGAGTTTGAGTTCTCCAGAATCTTCCCTCTGGTTTCGATTTGGAACGGCGTCGTTTTAGTGAGATTCATCGTTGATCGTTATCATCTCTCTTTCTGATTTTCTTTCTTTGTTTCTTTAGTTTGAACATGAGTTTGTTGTTAAAAGTTTTAACTTTGAACATGAGTTTTTAAATACCATTGGATATAGGAGTCAAAGATTTATCAATTCCTAGTAACAGTTTCACATCGTATTAATTCAAATGATTCGTGTGCTACAATTTCCGTCATTGATTCTTGTAAGTCGGAGTTTGTGTGGAAAGACGATATTGCCTTTGCAATTTGTTGGTGGAGATGACAATGTAGATGATCAGCTTTAGGTTGCAAAATCACAATATCTTGAAACAAGTTTAACTTGTGAGTGGCAACAAAGTACATCAAAGTCTTATTGAGAAAAATGTAAAAAGATTAGGTCATGGAAGAGCTATCCTCAGTCTCTGTGTTGGTTGTTGTTGTGGCATTTTGAGAGTCTTGGAGTAACTTCATTTGGTGCTCTGCGTGTTCTCTCTCACATTGACTTACACCAATGATGATGTCGAGCATTGTTCCCGTTGTGCCAAAGAACACTAGTGGACCTAGAGACTTGCGTTTGATGCCTACCGGGATTGCAACCAATGCGCCTAGGACTGAGAATACCCATGTTCCTAATGCACTGCACCCACAAAAAAAATCGAAACTTTTACACTTGAGGATGTTTCAACTTCGAGAATAACTATCACACTGTGTTTTACATTAGAAGATACTAGATACCAATGTTGGGTTCTAAGGTTACTTCTTTGAACAAATCAAAGCAATGTTGGGGTTAAGCATGATGGTATGGCCAAGTGAAAATAGAGTGGGCTATATAAGTGATGACTCAATGACAAAAATATGATTCCTAGATCGCAGACACAGTTAAGAAACAAACATTTTATACACCAGAAGAATTGAATTTTTCAACACTTAAGAATGTTCCAACTTCAAGAACAACAACCATAAGATACTAGGTACCAATACCAACGTTAGATGCTAAGGTTACTTCTTTGAGCAAATCAAAAGCAATGTAGTGGATAAGCATGATGGTGTGAACAAGTGAAAACAACTAAGACTGGCTACATAACTAATGATTCACTGATAAAACTATGATTTCTAAGTCAAAAAAGTTGATATCACAGAGAAGAAACAAAGGCTGAATATATGTTCCTTACTCTTTCTAATGATTAGCAAACAATCAAACAATATTGATATACGCATAAGTAAGAAACTAACTTGGAAACAGTGCATTCCTCGAGGTGTTTCACATTCTCCTGACTTCCCATCTTTGATCAGTCCCTGAAAAAGCGATAATGCCCAGTTAAAGTTTTCACCAGACATCTTCTAAAACAGATAGAAACTCAAATGGACTGAAGTACTTTTCACAAATGAAATGCAAACAGGCTATATCTTCATGTGGATCAAGAAAGCTCTAATCTTGAGTACTCAATACAATGCTAAACCAGAAGAAAATGATGGGTAAACAACAGACTTTAAAAGACTAGTGAGCTACAATTATGCAGATTCTCATCTCCATGAAAACAAGAAAGGCAAATACAAAAGCTATATTTTTAATACTGAAAACACATAAATCGATGGAAGACAGTACTGAGACATCACAATCTGGAAAAAAACTTGAATTTGCGAGAATCATTGAACAAGTTTCCAACTTTAAGAATTAATAGCACGAAATGAGCATAGAGTAGCGAAGATACACAAACAAAATTACCAAAGAGATGAGAAACGAAGGGCATAACATGAAACAACGACAACAAAATCAAATTCATGTCACATAATCAGAAGAAATATACAAAATTGCAGCCAAAAACTATCATGATTCCTATGAAAAAGATCATTCCAATTGCTAAAAACGAAGATTACCAAACGAGAAACGAAGATTGAGCAAACTCTCTAAAGTCGAAAGAAATGGTAAAGTCAAGCTTCGTGTGACTAATCGACGAGTCGGGTCGGGTAAGATCAGAGAGTGACTTAATCGGGTCAAATTAATGTTGTTAACCGGAAACTAACCGAACCGAAATCGTTTACCGAATTGGGGATTTCTGTTCGGTTAGTCGTTCTCTGTTAAACGATTAATTATTGTTTATTCATAACAATAAAGTTGTTTGGATTACCATAACACTAAATCACAGAGATGCAATCTTCACCACCGTGAAAAAAACAAGAACAAAAAAAAACAATTCTAAAAATAGATAACATTACCTTTACTATATAAATCACCTAGACAAACACAATTCTTCACCAAATCATCTCTTTTATTTATAACATTCGTTCTAATCAATATCACTACATTTATATACGTTATGGCAGCTCAGAGTTTGAAGAAAACATGCAATCTTCTGATTGTTACAGCTTTAATCACAATGATGTTTTCGGCACAAATATCACATTCGAATAATGTAGATATGTGTATCAAACATTGTGTCTCAAACCAATGTTTGAAAGAAGTTAAAAACGCTACTTCTACAATATGCGAGGATGCTTGCAAAAAACTTTGCAATGATCTACAAAATGGTAAAGAAAAATACATTGTGCCTACTAAAAGCCGGTTTTGCAGATGGTTTCCTAATCTGTGTGGTGCTATTAATTAATCTATAATCACAAAAGCTCTCATTGTTTGTTTCTTCATATACATATGTTAATCCACTTCTTATACAATGTTGTCTAATTGTTCTCACGTCAGTTTTCTTGTAACAAATATGCATGTTGTCGCTCATTTTATATCTTAATAATCCAGCTAAAGGAATTCAAATGATGTAAATTTAAATCGCATTCTATTGTTTATCTTCTGGATCGCTTCACGGTTTATCTTCCGGAAATCTGAAACTCCAACCTTGCAAACAACTCTTCAACTCATAATTATTAAAAAGGAAAGAAAAAAAAATTTCTAATTATATTCCTAGATTGAATCCATTTCAATTGAACTATACCGAATATATCGAAAAAAATACAAACGCAAATGAAAACCGTTTGGTTTTGTTTATGATCAACCCGATCGGTTTTGTGGTTTAAAATTTACATTAAAACAAATCATCTTTAAAAATTAAATATATATCGACCAATATTTGTATAGCATTATTAACTTATTATTAGCGATTTTTATTTTTCATGCATATTTATTATTTCGACTCGCAATCGACGGTCTTAGAATCTAGATTCTTTCTCGTGTAACTAGACTCTATAAAGTTGTGCATCAATCAAATCAATTAAGATTTCTTTACATCAAAGTAGTCCTAGTTTACTTCAAATTGTGAGTTCATCAAATTCACCAAAATCACAACAAAAATCTTTATGAAGATAAGAAGTGTTTTCTCACATTGAAGCATTTGCAGTATCATGGTCTATCCAATGAGACTCATTGAGAAGAGAAGCTTTGGTGGCATCGAAGAGCAAAAAGAATGAAGAACAATCCTTTTGAGAGTGGTTTTAGCCTTTGCACAAGAGCTCATCGCATTCGTATAATCAAAAATAAAATCAAACAAACCAAAATACAGTAACTATATAACTACAATTTTTATTAATCCCATGCACCACCATCGAATTGCAATGACGTTAGTTGTGCTCTTTATTTCTCTCTTGCGGTATTAAAACATTTCAAACTACGAAAACCGATTGGGTTGAAAATATAAGAAACCAGCTTAAAAATAAGGGTATATGTTGACACAGTGTTTTCACATTTGTGACCAAAACCAGATACTAAAACCCATGCAATAGAGTCTTTTAGCACTTAGTTAATACCTTTCATGTAAGATAGTAAGATACTATTATACATACAAGCGGCAAATATTTGTAGAGACATTGCATACTTTTGTAATTTTGTTTTAAATAGATTTTTGTATGCAACATATATATGGTTACAAGTTCAAAAAATAATTTGGCATTTAGTTATGTGCTAAGACTTTCAATATTATAACAATTAGCTATTGCGCTGCAGATCCTTAGATATCAGTTGTTAGACGACAAAAACAATATAACAGAACTAGGTTGCCCAAAGTTATTTGATTGATTTACCTCAAAACAAAGAAACAAGAAACAAATTAACCTTGATAACTTCTAAAAATTAATTAAATTAATTTACTATTTAAATTACCTACGTCGATCAACAATTCTCACCAAATGATCATATTGTACACAAAAATCCAACACCTTCTAAGATTCCTAAACTTTTCATCATGGTGGCTCAATCGCTGAGAAAGATATGCGGTGTCTTGACGATTATTGCTTTATTCACAATGATGTTTTCGGCACAATTCTCTCATTCGGATACAATGGATAAATGTGTTAAGAAATGTGTCCCAAACCAGTGTATGAAAGTGGTAAAAAACGGGACTCCTGTCATATGTGAGGAGATGTGCAAAAAATACTGTCTTGAAGGGCCAGTCAAAGTTGACTACATCGTCCCTCCAGGTGACAATACCTATCTAAGAAGGTTCTGCAGATATTTTGGTTTGATATGTTAGTAACTTAATCTAATAACATATATATATGCATGCTTTGTATCATTGGATTGATCAATATCTCCGATATATGTATCTATTGTTCTCAATAAATAAAGAGACTAATTTTACTTGTGTGTGTCCTTGTTCTTGTGCACGAATATATGACTATATCTCTTGCTAAGTGTGAGCTCATATCGATATTATGGTTCCAGAATGATATGACACGATGTAATCATGGTTTGGTTTATGCATGCATACTTGTTGATTTAAGATTTAAGTGGTGAACATCAAAAGAATTAGTAGAACAAAGATTATGTATATGAAATGGAGGTGAATGCAACAGATATGACAGATGAATAATTTTGTTTCACCCATTTCGATCAGAAAAACTAATATCATTTTGATCAGAAAAACCCAAAACCGAAAAAATTTACAAAGCTTGATTAAATTTGGTTCCTGAAAGTTGAAATTTAAATTTTTGGGAGGCTAAAAAACAGCCTAAATCTAAGTGGCTGGGCTTTGAATGGATTGGGCCGAATTATGTTATTTACATGAGGATAATAACTATGTTATTTACATGTGAAAACAATTGAAGAAGTACAATACATAATGATTGTGTTTCATATTCTCTTCCATGATTAAATCTCTAATAATTTTATTGTACATGCTGCGTAAGATGTGATCAAATGACAACTTACATAAGAAAAGAAAAGAAAAAAAGACCAGGAATAAAAACATTATCAATCATATATATCCTCGTAATCATGTTTATGTATTAGAGTATAAATAAGAAAACTCAGTTTTGTATATTAATGGGTTACAATTTGACAAGTAAAAAATATGGCTTTTCCAAAATGTGATAATTTCGAAGATAACGAGTAACGACTAATTAAGATGCCCACGCATGGCTCTGTTACAATTGGCCTCATCGAAGCCGAAAGTTAAATGGATGTGAATGAAACAGAGTTTTGACTTTAGATCACATTGAAAGAGATGTTTGCTTAAATGATAATATCCTGTTTAATCCATTTTATAATCCAACGTTGTTAGCAATAAAGTAGTCATGAATTAAAAAATTATCAAGTGGAACTACTATCACGGCAACTATACCATTGTTGTATGATTTGACTTGTAAGAAAAAAACTGTTATATCAAAACCATACAAGGATTTCGGTGTAATAGTCTAAAGTAGTTTTTAGTTAAGTTATGTTGTTTGAAATATAACTTGTCTCGGAGGCTAATAACATGGACTGCACCAAACGAGGATGTTTGGTTAAATGGATTATTCACGATTTGATTAGATCTAACCTCTCTTTTTTTTTCCCTTGGCCATAAATATTTTGTTTGAAAAATGAAAACAAATTCCATGTATAGTAATTAATCGGTTTCAACAATCTTGCTGGCAGATCACCCACCAGATTTCTTACCAAAAAAGAAAATGAATTTAACGTTCTTGTTGAATGTTGATACACACAAGTTATTACTATATGCATGAATAGTAGAAAGCTGGCATATGGGTGATGTTTATGTATGTCATACTATGAAAAGTTTTAATTTAGATCAATTGAATTTATATAATTTTATTTTAACCGGAAGATTCATGTATAACTTGATTTATTCATTTTTTTTTACTCCAAATTAACTCTAATCTTTCTAAAAATACTTGGCCAACAAATAATCTTGCTAAAACGTATTGGGAAATGGCAAAAATACCACTAATTGACTCCTTGTCATTTTTCCAAAATTCCATTATTTAGATAGTAATTGACCAATTTACCTTTAGAATTAGGTGATAAAGTAAAAAATTAATTAAATTAAATCATCAAAAAGTGTTACTCTGATAGAATATATAAAAAGGTTATATATTTTAACCTTATATAACCTTATTAAATATATAGTTTATATAAAAAGGTTAACCAGAGAAGGTATTTGATAAAATTTCTCCAAAAAAAAATCATAGATGTAAAATAAGGTGGAAACTAAAATTAAATTTAAACCAAAACTCTTAAGTTTGGTAAATATAAGTTATTTCTTTGTTATTCAAGTTAAAATATGAAATGTAATGCTGGCATCGGGTGGCATAATCTATGTTTATAAAGAATGTTTAATTTAGATAAACCTCATCCGATTTTAATAGGAAAATAATCTTCTGTGAAAAAAACAAAGTTGTAAATTTTAATACTGAGAGAATAAATAAATAGAAACTCTGCCAAAAAAAGCAGAGATTTTTTCTGTAAATCAATTTAGTAATAAGACTTATGTCATTGTCCCAAAAAAAGAAAAGAAAGTAAATTAATTAATCTGTGACTGTGTAATGTAGTAGCACGTGCCAGCTTTGCAACAGTAAAGCTAAAAAACCGTTCATGTTTGGATCCGTCGACCAATATACATATTACCGTCATCACCGGTCACCCCTCTCTTGCTCTCCATCCAACGGCTCTCCTTCTTCGATTCACTTAATCAACCGTCAGATTTTAATCCAACGGTTCATATAAAATCCAATTTTATCTCTTTTTCTCTTTAAATTAAACCCAAACTCAGTCTAATTTCTCTTCTCTCGATTCTCTCTCTCTTAAGTGAGCTTCGCCGTTAAAATTTCTCCGGTACCGGAAAATTAATAACGAAGAAAGCGAGAAGACACTGTTACACTAATTAGAAATCTCTCCCTCTCTCTCTCTATCTTTCTTTGTCGAAGTCGTGCGTGATGCTAGTTACGGTGGTGAAGCAGCGGTTAGTGTACTCTCGCCGGAGAAATCGGTTATAACCAGAATCTCACCTCCGTGATCGAAGAATCTGTTTTCCGGTTTTGACAGTTTCGAAATTTTTGAGAAGAAATGGAAAAACAGGCGAAGCTAACGAGGACACAGTCGTCGTTGCTCCGGTCATCGTCGAATCTTCGTTCGTCATTTCAAAGCTTATCTTCAATCGTCGAAGGCGAACAAGATCTAGAAGCCGGAGAGAAAGAAGAGAAACAGAGAAGAAAACCACCTAAACCATTCGGTTCATCAAGTCCTAAATCCGGTTTAACTCGGATTAACCCCGGTTTAGCTTTCACAATGGTGTCTCTCTCTTTCCTTAGTCTCTCATCGTTCTTCTTCTTCGTCGTCTTCTCACAAACCGATGAGATTCTCACATCGGAGAATCTTTTACTAGCTTTAATATTCGTCGCCGTAGCTCTCTTCTTCGCTTCCAAGAACATCGCTCTTCTTAACCAAACCGTAATCGCAATCAAACAAATCTGCGACGAAACCACTAAAAACTTCGGGTTTCAAAGCAGAAACTCAAAATCAAAACCGGTACAATGGTACATCGGAGACGATACTAAACCGGAGAAGAAGATCATAAAGCGGTTCATTAAAGAAGGAGTTCAATTCTACAGTAATGGAGATTTCTACGAAGGTGAATTTCACAAAGGGAAGTGTAACGGAAGTGGAGTTTATTACTATTTCGT